TTTTCGACAGTAGTGCACTCTGCACCAATTTACATTTTCATCAAGATTGCCCAGGGGTTCCTTTTTCCCTACGTTTTAGCAAGGTGTGTTATCGAGTTTTTTTTTTTTTTTTTTTTTTTTTTTTAATGATAATCACTCTGACAGGTGTGAGGTGATATCTCATTGTGGTTTTAATTTGCATTTCCCTGCAATTAGTGATATACCATTAATGCATTACTTTTCATGTACCAGTTGGCCATGTATATGTCTTCTTTAGAAAAGTGTCTGTTCAGTTTCTCTGCCAATTTTTTAATAGAATGTTTTCTGTTGAGTTGTATGAGTTCCTTATATATTTTAGATATTAACCCCTTATTAGATGTATGGTTTGCAAATATTTCTCCCATTCCATGTATTGCCTTTTCATTTTGTTGATAGTTTCATTTGGTTTGCAGAAGCTTTTTAGTTTGATGTAGTCCCACTTGTTCATTTTGCTTTTGTGGCCTTTGTTTTGGTATTAATTCCAAATAATCATTGCCAAGACTGATGTCAACAAGCTTACCCCCATGTTTTCTTCTAGGACTTACATGGTTTTATGTCTTACATTTAAGGTTTTAATTACTTTTGATTTGATTTTTTTTTATGGTGCAAGATAGGGATCCAGTTTTGTCCTCTTGCAAGTGGCTGTCCCATTTTCCCAACACTATTAGTTGAAGAGACTCTCCTTTCCCTCTTGTATATTTGTGTCTCTTTTGCCATAAATTAATTGACCATATATATGTGGATTTATTTCTGACTCTTGATTCTATTCCTTTGACCTGTATGTCTATATTTAGGCCATCCCATACTGTTTTGATTAATATAGCTTTGTAATGTAGTTTAAAATCAGGAAGTGTGATGATCCCAGCTTTGTTGTTCTTTCTGAAGATTTCTTTGTCTATTTGGGGTCTTTGGTGGTTACGTATAGATTTTAAGATAATTATATTTCTATGAAAAAGGGCATTGGAATGTTGGTAGGGATTGCATTGAATCTTAGGTTGCTTTGTGTATGGTGGACATTTTAACACTCTTAATTCTTCCCATCCATGAGTATGGAATGTCTTTCAATTTATTTCTGTCATCTTCGTGGTGGTTTTTTGTTTTGTTTTGTTTTGTTTTGTTTTCCATCAGTGCCTTAAGGTTTTTGTGTATAGTTCTTTTTTTTCCTTGGCTATATTTTTCCTAGGTATTTTATTCTTTTTTTTTTTTTTTTTTAACATTTATTTATTTTTGAGACAGAGAGAGACAGAGCATGAACGGGGGGAGGGTCAGAGAGAGGGAGACACAGAATCTGAAACAGGCTCCAGGCTCTGAGCTGTCAGCACAGAGCCCGACGCGGGGCTTGAACTCACGGACCATGAGATCATGACCTGAGCTGAAGTCGGCAGCTTAACCGACTGAGCCACCCAGGCGCCCCTTTTATTCTTTTTAATACAATTGTAAATGAGATTGTTTTCTTAATTTCTCTTTCTGCTAGTTCACTGTTAGTGTATAGAAAAGCAACTGATTTTTTTGTATTGATTTTGTATCCTGCAACTTTACTGAATTTTTTTTATTTTAAAAGTTTTTTGGTGTTTTTTTTGGGGGGGGGAGGGAGCGTTCTATATAAAGTCATATCATCTGCATATAATGGCAATTAATGCTTTTGAATGCCTTTTATTTCTTTTTCTTACCTAATTGTGCTGGCTAGGATTTTTAGTACTGTGTTGAATAAGAGTGGTGAGAATGATCACCCTTGTCCTGTTCCTCATCTTAGAAGAAAAACTTTTAATCTTTTACTATTGATTATGATATTAGATGTGGGTTGGTTGTATTCACCTTTATTATATTGACATGCATTCCTTATATACCCAGTTTGGTGAGAGTTTTATCATAAAAGATACTGAATTTTGTCAGGTGCATTTTCTACATGTATGGAGTGATCAGATCCTTTTAATGTTTCATTCTGTTAATGTGGTGTCCCACATTGATTTGTGGATATTGAATCATCCTTGCATCCCTGGAATAATTCCCACTTGATCATGATGTATGATTCTTTTAATGTATTACTGAATTTGGTTTCCTAATACTTTGTTGAAAATGTTTGCATCTATATGCATCAGGCATATTGGTATATAGTTTTCTTTTCTTGTAGTGTCCTTATCTGGCTTTGGTATCAGGGCAATGATGACCCAATAAAATGATTTTAGGAGTATTCCCTCTTCAGTTTTTTGGAAGAGTTTGAGAAGGATTGGGATTACTTCTTTAATTGTTTGTAGAATTACCATGGAAACTATCTAGTCCTGGGGTTTTTTGTATTGGGAGGTTTTTAGTTATTAATGTTTATTTTTAGAGAGAGAGAGAGACAGAGTACAAGCAGGGGAGGGGCAGAGAGAGAGGGAGACACAGAATCCAAAGCAGGTTCCAGCCTCTGAGCTGTCAGCACAGAGTCTAGCACGGGGCTTGAATTTATGAACTGCAAGATTATGACCTGAGCAGGAGTTGGATGCTTAACTGACTGAGCCACCCAGGCTCCTTGGGAGGTTTTTGATTATTAATTCAATCTCCTTACTCCTTATCGAACCATTCAGATTTTCCTTTTTTTTATGATTCAGTCTTGGTAGGTTGTATGTTTCTAGTTACTTACCCATTTCATTTAGGTTATCCAATTTGTTGGCATATGATTATTTCGTAGTAGTCTCTTGATCCTGTATATTAGTGTGGTATCAATTTTAATGTTTCCTATTTCATTTCTTTATTTATTTAAGTCTTGTTTTTCTAGTTTGTTTAGCAAAAGCTTTGGATATTTTGTTTGTCTTTTCAAAACACTAACTCTTGTGTTGATCTTTTCTATTGTTTTTCTGGTTTTCATTATTTATGTTCTGATCTTTGTTATTCCTTTCTTTCTGCTAACTTTGGGCTGAGTTCTTCCTTTTCTGTTTTTTAATGTGTAAAGTAAGGTTGTTTATTGGATTTCTTGTTTCTTAATGTAGGCTTTTATTATTATAGACTTTCCTCTTAGACCTGTTTTTGCAGCATTCACTAAGTTTTGATATATTGTGCTTAAATTTTTAATAGCTTCAAGATATTTTTTCGTCTCCTTTTTGATTTATTCTTTTTTAATATTTATTTATTTTTGAGAGAAACAGAGAAAGTGAGCAAGGGAGGGGCAGAGAGAGAGGGAGACAGAATCCCAAGGAGACTCCATGCTGTCAGTGCAGAGCCTGACGCAGGGCTCGAACTCATGAACCGTAAGGTCATGACCTGAGCTCAAACCAAGAGTTGGACACTTAACTAACCTAGCCACCCAGGCGTGCCTCAGTTTCTTCTTTGACAAATTGTTTGTTCAGGAATTTATTAGTTAATCTCCATGTATTTGTGAATATTTTAGCTTTTTCCTCCTGTTTTGGTTTTTATTTTAATACTATTGTGGTTAAAGATACTTAGTATAACTTAAATTTTCCTAAATTTGCTACAACTGTTTTTGTGGTCTTCCATATGATTTATAGTTGTCATATGATTATGAATGTTCTGTGTGCACTTGAGAATTGTGTATTCTGGTCTATTGGATGGCATGTTCTATAAATGCATATTAGGTCAATTTAGTTTAATGTATGCTTTTATTTTTTTTATGTTTTTTTTTTTAAATTTTTTGTTTTCAACGTTTATTATTTTGGAGACAGACAGAGCATGAGCGGGGAGGGGCAGAGAGAGAGGGACAGAATCGGGCTCAGGCTCCAGGCTCTGAGCCATCACAATCTGGCAGCGTGCTTCGAACTCACCAGACCCTTGAACGTACTGTTTGGTCAGTGGGCAGCAACAACCTCGCCACCCAGGCGCCCCTAATGTATGCTTTTAGTACAGTGTTTTCTTTTTGATTGTTTGGTCTGGATGATTTATCCATTGCTGAAAGTGGGGTATTGAATTCCTTTATTATTATTAAGTTTTCATTAATGGTGATGTTGGGCTTGTCCTTCCAAAACTTGTTTTTCACACAACCTTATATTTTATATATTTAACCTAGTACCCTACAAATTATTCATTCTATAGGTAAAATTTGTTATCACACTCCAAACTTTATTTTATACCTAACTGTTGATATATGAACCATGCTTGGAACATATTAACAATTACCTTTGGGTTATTATTATTATTATTTTTAAAGTTAATTATTTTGAGACAGAGAGCACACATGCATGTGTGTGAGTGGGAGAGGGGCAGAAAGAGAGGGAGAGAGAGGATCCCAAGCAGGCTCTGTGCTGTCATTGTGGAGCTCAGTCCCACAAACTGTGAGATCATGACCTGAGCTGACGTTGAGTTAGTTGCTTAACTGACTGAGCCACCCAGTCTCCTCTGGGTTATTATGTAAAAAAAAAAAAAAAAAAAAAAAAAAAAAAATTTGATAAATTTTTTGATAAAAAGAATTTTTTTTTTTACATTTATTTATTTTTGAGAGACAGAGAGTACAAGTTGGTGAGGGGCAGACAGAGAATGAGACACAGAATCTGAAGCAGGCTTCCAGCTCTGAGCTGTTAGCACAGAGTCCGACGTGGGGCTCGAACTTACAAATTGTGAGATCATGACCTGAGTCGAAGACGGATGCTTACCTGAGTCACCCATGTGCCCTGGGTTATTATTTTTTGATTATGTATAGATGCACTTATCATGTACTTCTGTCCATGGAATTTTTACTTTTTAAACTTCTTTGATGTATTTAAATACTCTTATTATTCTTTTGTTCATTTTGCATGTGCCCATTTCTGTGGTATCCATGTGTTTCCCGCCCCCCCCAAAGAAATAGGGAGAATTTATAGTAGAGTAGGGATGAGAACTTACTTCTCAAATATTATTTCAATATTCTTTCTTTTGTTCAGATCATATATTCTGCTATATGGGACTGTATTTTTAACCAACTGGATTTTTATCTTGTATATATATATATCAATTAACTTCTTAATTCATTTGGACATAGAAGAATTGAGTATAATATTTACTTTCTTTTGCAGGGATTCACAACCAAGTAAGACTGTAGATAATAATTATGCAAAGCAAGCCTCACACACTAAAGAAAAGCAAAGAGATGATGATGGCATTTCTCTTGTAATGTCTGATGCTCAACCTAAAGGTTTGTGAACACTAGAAAATTTTTGTCATTTGAATTTTTGTCTTTTGCATTTGTAATAATTTTTAAGTTATAGTTAACTTTATTTAATCTTACATTTAAAGGATCTGTGAAAGTAAAGGGAGATTATTTAGCAACACAAAGGAAATTGCAAAGTTTGCCATTTGTACACTATAGTATTCATTTCTTGATTTATTTACTGAATCTATAAGTTACATTTGAATATCATTTCTTTTTTGTTGTTGGGGCTGGGCATACAGCTATACAATTATAATGTTAGTTTAGCTATTTGTAAGTATTATTTCCATGGATATGTCTGGTAATAATTGATATTACTGCTAATTTGATTATTATTCTTAGCTTCCCACTGTCTATCCTCCTATGGCATACATTCTTTATTCATTAGAATTTCTCTCAACTGTAGGATGATGCCTTTACAAGCCACTATTAGCAAATTTAAAAGTAAATACATCCCAGACTTCTGAACATTCTTTTTCGGCCTCCTTGCATGTGTAGGGTTAATTAATTGACTTTTCTCCTTTTTGTCTTTCTTTTAAGATTTTAAAATAATTTACAAAATTTTGCACCAAAACACTTAACTACATTAGTCACATCTTGTGGAACACATATCTTCAGGGATCTCTTGGATTACTGATTGCTTTTTTTTTTTTAAGTTTATTAATTTTGAGAGAGAGAGAGAAAGAGGGAGAAAGTGAAGGATGAGCAGAGAGAGAGGAGATAGAATCCCAAGCAGCCTCCACACTGCCAGTGTGGAGCCTGATGCTGGGCTCAAACCCACAAACCATGAGATCATGACCTCAGACAAAACCAAGAGTCAGACGTTTAATTGACTGAGCCACCCAGGCACCCCGCGATCACTTAAAACTGGTTGAGATCTTTATTTTCTGAATGATTTCAGAAACTATTCATGAGAAAAAATGCTTCTGCAATGGCACTATGCAATAATTCTTTGCGCATTATTTGAAACACAGCTATTTACAACTTTTAGTAGTTTTTTTCATACAGGAGGAAAACTTAAAAATAAACTAGACTAATAACCAGCTTCAACTCTTATGAGGGCAATCTGGAGAAAGCATTTTAACTGTGTAGACATAATCTTTCTTTTTTTTAAATTTTTTTCTTTTTTTCTTTTTTAACGTTTATTTATTTTTGAGACAGAGAGAGACAGAGCATGAACAGGGGAGGGGCAGAGAGAGAGGGAGACACAGAATCGGAAACAGGCTCCAGGCTCTGAGCTGTCAACACAAAGCCCGACGCAGGGCTTGAACTCACAGACCGTGAGATCATGACCTGAGCTGAAGTCGGACGCTTAACCGACCAAGCCACCCAGGCGCCCCTAGACATAATCTTTCAATTAGCTACTAAGCCCTAGCTGCATAAAATGAAAGACATTTATTTTCTTATGGATTGTACTTTTCCCAGAAATAATTCTCATTAATTACCAAATAAAAAGTATTTGTATAAGTTGGCTCAGTTCACATACTATTAAGGTACTGTTAAACCCTCACATTCCACTGATTTCCTAGATAGAGTAGAAATAGTTAAATAAAAAGCTTTCTGATTTATGTCCTTTAGTATTTCTCCAAAGTCACAGTGAAAAAATGCATAATAAAAGAAACACTTCATAGTTTCTTAGTACCTACTCTGGAGGTTCTTTTCAGAGATAAAGTGTTGTTAAGAAAAGTGACTATTGAAACTATTGAAACTCATCATGTTTCCATACTACAGATAATTGTGTCCAGTACCAGTTTTTTAATATAAGCCCATAAATTAATGGGAATTCTGAATTAAACTCCAGGTGTGCCCTTCTTTTGTGGTATATTAAGTTTGTCTTGTGGAATTAGCTTTTATGAAAATAACGTATTGGGGAAAAATTTATTTTAAAGGTTTTATTTATTTTTAAATGTTTATTTTTGAGAGAGAGAGCGCGTGCATGCACAAGTGAGGGAAGGACATAGAGAGAGGGACAGGGGATCTGAAGCTGGCTCTGCACTGACAACAGTGAGCCTGATGCAGGGCTCAAACTCAAGAACCATGAAGTCATGATCTGAGCTGAAGTACTGTGCTTAACTGACTGAGCCACCCATGTGCCCCTTAAAGGTTTTATTTTGAAGTAACTCTGTACCCAACGTGGGGTTCAAACTCACAACCCTGAGATCAGTTGTATGCTTTACCAGCTGAGCCAGTGAGGCACCCCTATATTGGAAATATTTAATATTTTGTTTACAGGAATTTGTCACTTTAATTTTATATACTAGCAAGTTAAATTGTATATGTTATGTAGGCAGAATCCTATTTTTACAATGGCAAGCTCTATCTAATACATTTATTCTTGTTTCCCATGGTATAGTCTTATGAATAGTAAATAAACTGAAAGAGGAAAATTCTTGTATAGTAGCGTTTTTCTCAAGCACCTTTTATTTTCTCAATCTTTTTGCTGTAGTATTTATGTTTAGAAATTGTAATTTGATGCATTTATATGTAGAAATTATATTTGACTACCTTTACAAAATTACAAAAAAATACTGTGCTTTTCAAAATATTGTGTTGATTATTTAGGAGGAGATTTTAATTTTTGGGAGAGTGAAGAATGTTTTCTCCGGCAATTGGAAGACTCTTCTTTTTATTCTTGTTTTTAAGTAGGCTCTGCTCCCAGCATGGAGCCCAATGCAGGGTTTGAACTCATGACCCTGAGATCAAGACCTGAGCTAATATGAAGTGTCAGATGCTTAGCTGACCCAGCCACCCAGGTGCCCTGCAAATTGGAAAACTGTTGATCGTCTTGGAGTTTTGCCTTAATCATGCCCCACTGCCTACCTTTTAAGCAATGACAGATATAATGAATGTTAGCTGTTAGGTTTCTGTGAAGCTAGAATAAGCAAGAATAGTCTGAAGAGAAGGTGGGTAGTATTGAAGAACTTTGAGTGAATGGAGAGGTCAGGCCCAGTGTTACATAAATTATCAGTTAGGAGTTCAAGGAAGCTGCTTTGTGATTTTGTTTACATAAACTTTGGGTTGGTACTTATATAGATTCGGAAAGAAATATAATTCAGGATAATCTTCAGTTGGTTAGGTAGAACTTTTTGGAAGGTATTTTTGTATACTGCATATATTTGCTAACTGAAATACTAAGCATTTTTAGTAATAATTGACATGGGTTTCAAATAATGCTTTGTTTTAAAAAATGGAGCATTTAGTAGACTTATTGTACACTTAAAACGAGATCTTGAGTTTTAAAAAGAAGAAACAAACAAATTGATAGTGACTACTACTCTTTGTAATTATTGTCCTTTTTCACTTACAAAGTACATACATGTATATAACACTCAAATTTTAAAAAGACAACTAATTTCTAAAGTCAAAATGAATTATCAAAACATTTTAAGATTGGAATTTTCCAAATTTTATTAACACCCATCCCCCCCCACCATTCTTTTTGTATTACAGTCAAATGTAATTATAGCAAGAACAAAACAAAACGTATTTTGATTGCTTTGCTTTGGTTACTAAAGAATACTCCCTTTTTATGTTTTCCTCATTCATTATTGTACAGTGAACATTTATTTTGTCGATGCAGTTTAAAATAGGGTATTTCTTTATATTCATGTCCAAATGAACTTCGTTTTAAATTAGTTTTAAAAGTTGTGTAGCAATTTTGATGATGCTTATTTGAGCTCTTCTAAAAGGGATTCTTTCTGTACTTTTTGGCCATATTTATGTCTCTTTTGTTTTTTAAGACCTCAGTAGTGGAAGTAGAGGTTGTGATCATCTTGAAGAGGGGAGCAAAAATAAGGATGATACATTTTCTGATTCAAAAATGGAACCCACTCTGACTTCCAGGAAGAGAAAGAAAAGGCTTAGAAGTAATTTACCTGATTCTCATAATTCTACTTCTTCTTTGTATGAGTCAGCAGAACAGATAGTAAGTATAGGTATTTAGATGTCATGTGAAATAATTTATGCTATGATAAAAATGAATTGACTATGAATTAGATATTGTTCTTAAGCTTTCTGCTTTTGTCATCAGATTTATTTCTTTTTTTGGCAATTTTTTAATTCTTTGGTTTTTAAAAAATAATTTAAATGAAACTTTTTTCAGTAATATAGCTATTAGAGCAAATTTGAAACATGAACAAGTAAAAAAATTAAATATGTTCCTTCTCTGATACCACTCCTTACTTAGTAGTTTGGTATTTATCCATCAGAATTGTTTTATTTTCTCTTATTTTAACAAATACTATTAATACTCTATCCATACTGTCCAGTCAATTGCTTTTTCATATGCTGTGTAAAAGTACTACCAGATTTCTTTGATCGGTAGTAATTACTTGCCAACTTCTTGAAGCCTTTCTCTGCCTAGAGTTTAGGGAGTTTGTTGTATGTAAAGAATTATCATACTTCATGCACACATTACCTATTTTCAAAACTTAGTATACAGTTAATAAAAGTATAAGAAGATAATTTTTTTACTCCTTTGATTCACAAGGCCTTTCAGAACTTTTCAGGACCTTTGAGTTATAAACATGATTTAGATTTAAATGGTAATAGCGGTGTGAAGGCAGTGATTGATGAATAGTTTTTCATATTGTTTTCCTAAGTTTTAATTTTTTGCTTTTGTTAATGAAATCACATGATGTCATATGGCGTCATTACTTTTGCAAAATAAAATTGTAAAAGAAAAGTTCCTCTTATTCTAAGTTGACTTAGTTTGTGGGAGACCATCTAAACCACTTGTAAATACATATGGGAATTTCCATATCCTGGCCTTTTAAAAAAAATGTTTGGGTATTTGATTGGACAGACCAAACTCTCTATCTTTTTACTTGGGAGACCCTGGCAAGAGTAATATAGTATAATTGTGTAGTTTTCTGTCCCTGTATAATATTTTTACATTTATATTCTTCTTTAGGAATTCAAACTTTAAAAAATTCTTTAGCCAAATTTGAAAAGTAGTAATTTTTTGTGTGCATTTATTTATGTTCAGATAAAACAAGAAAATGACTCCACAGTATCTGCCGAGTTTAAAAAGTCAAGTGAAAACTATCATCAAGACTCAAAAGTGCTTGAGGAAATTACACCTGAACCTATAGAAAGTGATTTTGCTAAACTATCCTCACTTGATAGTCAGGAGTTGGCTTTGAGTGCTGCTCCCAAAAGTACCTCTGACTCTTCAGCCACCGAAACTTTTGAGAGCTCTAGTTCCACTGATTCCATGGGGAATTCTACCCTGGTTGAGAAGAATGAGAGTGAGTTGAATGTAATAGAAAAGCCTGCTTTAAGTGAACACAGTGAAGGGAGCCAGTCTTTGGTATCCGTTGAACCAAGTAAGTAACAGTAGGATTGTAATATCTTTTAATTTTCTCTGCTTTAGTTGTTCTGTTTCTCCTCTCAAACAAATTTTTCCGAGGCAATAAGCTGTTTGTAACATCACTGTGGAATATATTAACTTGAGGAAAAAAAAAGACCTGGAGTTTTGGGACTTTGTTGTAGTATTAATTTAGGTAAACAGTGGATTACTTGAAGGCAGGAATATTTTTTTTTTTTTTTTTTTTTTTTTTTTTTTTTTGTGAACTGTCATTCATCTCCTCAGTAGTTTTTATTTTTTATTTTATTTTTTTAAGTTTATTTATTTTATTTTGATAGAGCAAATGTGCATGCACACGTGCTTGAGATAGAATGAACAAGCAGGGGATGGAGAGAGAGAGGGAGAGAGAGAATCCTAAGCAGGCTTGGCACTGTGCGTGCAGATCTCAAGTGTGTGTGAGAGCATGAACTGAAGCAGAATCAAGAGTCAGGTGCTTAACTGAGCCACCCAAGGGCCCCAGCTCAGTAGTTTTTAAAAGGATTCTGGAAGGACCATTATTATTGACATTTTGGTTGATGAAGCTGAAGTGCAGAATTTGAGTGCTATATAATTATGGTCATTAATTTTGATTTATTTGCAAGTGTTTGGTACACTCACATGGTACAAAAAAAGGTTTTAAAGGATATACAGTGAACAGTCTCCCACATCTTCTCTTAGCCATCCATTGTTTCCTTCTGGAAGAAACTGAATGTAACCGGAGTTACAGTACAATTTAGAGTGGTGGCATAATACATTTTTATTATTCTAACTAGAACTTGTTCCTAAGTTCTCCTCATGTCTTTATCCATTTTTAAATGTCTTGATCCTCCAGAAGGTGAGGTTGTAGGTAACTGCTAAATAATAGCAGTGATATGGAATATTGCATTTAACTAGTATAAATCAGATAATGAATGGTAGTCCAGTTTCTAAGTTGAACAAAGTTAGATGATTAAATTTTAATGGTATTATGAAGGGATATGTTGCTTCAATTGGAAAGTTTTCTGTTTGATGTGTGATTATTGCGATACATTTAAAGAATGATTTTTCCTTTTTAGTTGTTGTTTCCAGTGATGAGGAGGGACCTGTTGAACATAAAAGTTCAGAAATTCTTAAGTTACAACCTAAGCAAGACCATGTCATCACTAATGACAATGAGAGTACTTCTGAAGCAGCATTGTCAGAACCATTGATGACATGTGAATCTGTACAGGTAATTTATTTCTGCTTTCTCATAGATTAACAGTGAAATATACACTATTGGCTAATGATTGTTTCTTTCATCAAGCAGAATATTATTATAAAAATTACAAATTTTCTTAGTTTGAATTTTGAGATAATTTTCATATTAGTTTGAAGGAAATGTGTAGTTGCTCTTATTTTGAAGTGAAGGAATTATTTTTTTGTCATTTATTTTTTTTCAGTCTAAATATTCTATGACTTGAATACTTTTTTTTTTTTCTTAAAGATTCTAATTGGGCAGTTAACCACTTTATCAAAATTTCTTAGAATTAAGCAGTTGCCAGTATTAGTCTGTCTGGTCTTCCAGTACTGTGATTACTTTTTTCCTCACATGCTCTTAAGGCAGCATGATATAGAGGAATGAACATGGCTTATGGAGATTACAGACCTGGGTTCAAATTCTGGCTCTGTCATTTGGGCAAGTCACTTAACTTCTTTAAGCCTGAGTTTCCTCATATGTTCCATGAGGATAATAAGATTGTTTTAAGTGAAGTAACATATGAAAGCATTTAGAAGAGTGAAGCCTTTAGAGAGAGAAAGCATTTAGAAAACCTATCAATGTGGTAAGTCCTTTGTCTTCTCCTTCTTACAGAAAATAATAAATGGGAAATGTCTTGTTGGTTTAATGTCAGCGAGTTGTGTTTTGACATAGTACTATAAGAGTGTAGCTGTAAAATGAGGTTCAAATCATTTGTTTTCAGTATTCATTCTTATTATCAGCCTCTAATTATCCTATTTTAAAGAAATGATTATCAATGCAGATAATTTGATTATGATAATCATAATCATTAATCATAATCGTAATGATTATGGTAAACTTCTGTTGGTTTGTTTTTTAATAATGTCTGAGGCTATTATCCTCTAAGGTGTGATGAAGAATTAGGTCAGTTCTATAAAAAGTCTGGTGGTCTGATTATTGTTTCACTGCTGTTTCTATTGCATTTGGTACTCTATACAGAAAGCACCCTGGCAGCTATGTTTGGAAGTTTTGTTAAAATGTAGCCATTTTTGCTTGATTGGGAAAGTAGCCTATTTAATGGTTTAGTTGTATTTGTAATGAAAACCGTGTCATTATTGATAAGGAGTTCAAATTTCTAAATGAATTATAGTTTTCTTGGCAGTATATACCTTGATAATACAGTGTGAAATGATCATATTATAAGAAAGTAACTTTTTTTGTAGAACTGACTGAATATGATCGCAACTAGGCAATAAATAATGTGAAGACCTACTAAGATCTATAGGGCAGCATACCTTAATATCTCCACACCTTCCTTTGTTTTCAGTTTTAAAGGAAATTATGAGAAACATGGGTTGGCCATTTTTAGGAGGTAGTTAGTCTTTGCAAAATGTGAGGCCCCAATGAGAAATTCTTTTTATCCCATCTTCTCATTTTATCACTTAAAACACACACATGCTTACAAACAGTTAGCTGTCTGACTGATTAGAATCACCTGTAGTTGATTTAGTACCTGTTCTTTAAGGAATAAGAATAGTAGAGTAAGCAATAAAAGATGAGAATGACAAAGATTTTTTTATTAAGCAGATAAATGCGTTTGTGAGCTGAGTGAAGAATAATGAGTACTACATGTGTTTCAGAGTAAGAATAATCGCATTTCCTAGAGGTAGGAGGAGAGTGAATACACATGCATAATTGCTCTTGTGGTAATTTATTTGGTTGTTAGTGATGTTAGGGTTAAAGAGGAATAATGTATCAAGGGTAGGGAAATGTGGAGTTCAAAAAGTCATTTGAAAGCAGTTTAAAATTCAGAAGAGATTGTGGGAAACAGCTGCTGCTGATACTTCCTGGTAGTCTATTCTAATTTAAAAGTACAGTTATGTAGTTGTTTGGAAGCACTATGAATTTTGAAGTTTTAGGCAACTGGTTGGCTATTTTCAGACATGGAAAGAGTAAAAAGCATATAGATTTGATATAACAGATGATTCTTAGGTACTTACATCCCTTGAAGTGCATTACCTAAGAGCATCATCTTGGTTTATGAAGCAATTGTATATGGTTGAAATAACCCTTGACCTGGAGATAGAAACCTGGGTTTGTTTCATCCTAACTTCATGACCTTGGACAAGTAACTTAACCAATCCACACATCTATTAGTTTTACTTATGAAATGGAAAAAAAACAAAAACAAAAAAACAAAACACCCAGACTACCTCATGGGGTGGTTATGGCGATTAAAAGAGATAATATTTAGGAACTCATTTTAAACTAAAATACTATGTAAATCTTAATTTATTTCTGTTGAGCTAAAAATGAACAAAGCCTATTAGGGAATACTGAATTTACAATCATGGCTTTAATATAAAGGAAGATATATTTCTGGAGTTTAGGCCTATGGAGTTAAGATTCAACTATTAAGAGTAATAGTCTCAAAGTAAATCATATACTTTTTAAGAAAAAAAAATCTAGATAAGTGTTTTTTCACAGTAAGAACAGTACAAAATCCTTCATAAACGCATTAATAGTAATTTAAAGAAGTATTTCACCTTGAAAATCATTGTCACATTTGTATAATACTTAGGGTTATATGCATTTTATAATTTATTCCTTGTTAGGCTTCATCTGAATTATGTCCATATAATCCTGTCATGGAAAACATTTCCTGTATTTTACCTAGTAATGACATGGATCTACAACTGGATTTTATATTTACTTCTGTTTATATTGGTAAAATAAAAGGAGCTTCTAAAGGTTGCGTTACAGTAAGTATATTTAATATGTTTTTGTTTTAGATTTTGGACAAAGCATTTACATATTATCTTTTTTTTTTTTACTACAAATGAAAATAGAATTGAGTTTAATTTTATATGGGACATTTTGAATATATATGTTATACCTACTTTGATACATGTCTTTAATTGGGGGAAATCCTAAAATCATAAGGGAATATCTTAAAATTACATCTTTGATCTGACTATTCTAATGAAGATCATGTATGAAAATCATACACAGTACTGATATTCCTTGGGTTCCTAAACTTATTTGGTGGTAAAGTAAATTTTTATTCAGGGTATAGTTGAGAGCAAAAAGAAATCTTATTTTGCTGGCTTAAATTGTAAACTGAGTTCATCAAATTCCTAAATTTATTTAAAGGTCTCCAGGAATAGTTCTTTTCCATTTTTTTTCAGTGTTCTGTCTCACATATTATATTATGAAAACTATACTGGATTTTACTCTGTTCTCTATATTTTCTATTTCTGCCTATTAAAATTCTAACTATCTTTTAAGGTTTATCTGAAATACTTCCTCTTCCAGGAAACCTTTCCTGATTTTTCTAACCAGAAATAACTTCTCCCTTTACTATGTACTTATAACACTTTGTACATCTGTTGTAAGATTTATTCTTTGTGTTCATAATTGTTTTTACATTTTTGCCTAAACCTCTCAATTTTAGCCTTTAAACATCTTGTGGTGAAGAGCCATACTTTTATTCGCTTTTACATATTCCATAAATGGTTCACACCTAAATAGGCACTTAAAACGTTGGTTGAATTGTATTGACCATGTCAGATTATAACTGAGGTATTCTCCCAGAAGTTTTATTAATATTTACTGTGTTAGGGATAGGGCAGGGAATATTAAAATGGTAAGACATGGTCTCTGTTTTCATGGAACTTGTAGTCTAATGGAAGAGACAGACACATAGATAGATATTTTGTACAATGGAAATATGGACAAGAAGGGTGCATATGGGAATATCTGGAAGAATCAGAGAAGACTTCACAGAGAAGACAGCATACGATTTAAGACGTAAAGTATATGTTTACTTGGTGACCATACAGGAGGAAGACCTAATTTCATGTATAAATCTAGCAAATTCTGTGTTCTACAAATAGTAGTAACTTGTGATATAGTTAAAATTGCTTTGGATGAAAACACAAAAATAGTTTGTTTAAAATTAATATTCCCTAAACAGTAGTTTTTAGATATTAATGATTTTGGCATGCCTGGGGTGATATTACAATTTTTTTCTGTTAAGGAATTTCATGCACTTTTTACAATCTTCACTCCCCTTATCCCCATTTTACTTTTTTATTTTAAATTCAGTTTAATCACTTTTTTTCTGTTGGTTTCTTTGTGATGGTAAAAAATTAGATAATATGGAAAATCCAACATAAATATTCAGCAGTGGATTGTCATTAGTTAATATATTAATTGTATATTACAGTTAGGTGGGCTTGTTATGGGCAAAAAAGAAGACCAAACAGAAAAGCAATTGAGGGGTGCCTGGGTGGCTCAGTTGGTTAAGTGTCTGACTTCTGCTCAGGTCATGATCTTGCAGTCATGAGTTCGAGCCCCACGTCAGGCTCTGTGCTGACAGCTTGGAGCCTGGAGCCTGCTTTGGAATCTGTGACTCCCTCTCTCTCTGCCCCTCCCCTGCTCACGCTCTGTCTCTCTTTGTCTCAAAAAATACATAAGCGTTAAAACAAATTTAAGAGAACAATTGAATAAAGAAACAGTTTAAAGAATACCTATAATCTTGCTTGCTCAGAGACCATTGCCAGTAACTCTACAGTGTATATATCATTCTGTATTCTTCGTTAGATACATATATATGTTTAAATCAAAAGCATGTGACATATATACTGTTTTGTAACTTGCCATTATTATATGAAGTTAGTTCATGTACCTATTTGGGGGTATTTGTGTTGTCCTTAATTCCTGACTGTTGGGACATTTTGGTTGTCCCAGTATTGTTATTGGTAGTAGGGGAGTGCACATACTCAATAAATGTGATAAAGTAGGTTTTAAAAATGTGTTTCATGTTTGTTGGAACATTTGTTATAATTGAAATGAAAACTTAAATGTTTAATTAAAAGAAAATAATTTAGTAAAATATATGCAGGTGTAAGTATATATATATGCAGGTATAAGTATATGAAGAAATACTGAGAAGAATTCTACAAAAATTAAAAGTTATGTTACTAAGGAGAGAGCATAAGCAATTTTAGAAATTAAAAATCATGAATAACATGCAAAAGGGAAAAAGGGAAAAGTCTTAAAACTTTCAAGGATTCGGGCACTTGGGTGGCTCAGTTGGTTAAGTGTCTGACGTTGGCTTATGTCATAATCTCATGGTTCATGAGTTCACACCCCTGATTTGCACTGTCAATGCAGAGCCTGCCTGGGATTCTCTCTCTCTATCTCTCTCCCTCTTTCTGCACCTCCCGCACTCGCATGCGTGAACTCGCTCTCTTTCTCAAAATAAATAAACTAAAAAAAAAAAAAAAAAAAAAAAAAAAAAAAAAAAAAAAAAAAAAAAAAAAAAACTTTCAAGGATTCAAAAGATGTATTTATTTTTATTATTTTTTAATGTGTATTTACTTTTGAGAGTTGGGCAGAGAGGGAGGGGGATAGAGAGAGATAGGGACACAGGATCTGAAGTAGCTCTGCGCTGATAGCACAGAGCCCCACGTAGGACTCGAACTTAAAAATTGTGACATCATGCCCTGAGCTGTAGTCGGACGCTTAACTGATTGAGCCATCCAGGCATCCCTCAAAAGACTTTTTATATAATCTCTTTTCAGACACTCTGTAACTTAGAAATTGAAGAATTTTTTGTGGGGGAGTAAATAAGATAATTAAACTCAGTCATTTTCCAGATGTTTAATGAGTTTTAATGTGTTGTTATAGATTAGCTAGAGATAGATACTGTTCTCACTCTCATGATAATTACATTTTAGCTAAACTTGAAAAATACCTAGAGTGGGAAACTATTTACTTAATTAGAGCCCATTTTCATAGAGTTGGACATTTAAGTTAGTATTATTGTTTTTTAAAGTAGAGAATGCTGCAATGGACGTGAACATTTTAGTTTTTATTTCTCAACTTTGTTGATAGTAGGACGAATGTTTATTAAGTACACATTGTGTTCAGAGAACTATACTGGCTTTTGTAAGAAGTTACAAAATGGATATGGTATGATTTCAGAGAACTGAGTTTACCTTACTCTGACAAAAACATCTGCCTTATTTTCCCAACAGGGGATTAAATTTTTGCTGGGAATAGGGCTTTGCTTTTGGGAGAGGTTACATGTTGGCTTAGTCATCACACAAAGGTGTAAATGAATATCAGATCTTTGCCATGCTGAAAGATTTGGTAGGACAAGAATGCTTATTGTGGAAGAATGAGAGACTGATGACAAAGTTGAGGCCAAGATACATAAATACACTACTTCTAATTCATAATTTTATAGTAATGTCTATAAAATCTCAAAAGCAAACATTCCTTATATTCATTTTTCTGTAACTAGTTATTTACATTTGCCAAGATATATTTTATGAGATTAAAGACACAGTGAAATAAGTCAGAATTTGAGAAAGGAAAATATACACCATATATATGTGTGTGTGTGTGTATGCATATATATATATATATATAACAGTTGTGTGAAAGTGACAGAATAATGAGATGTATTTGACTAAATTAAACTAGATAATACACTTATTCAGATGCTGTGTCTAATGATAATAGCTCCTTTTGATTAAGGCTTTTAATCTAAAGCTGACAGAGGTTCAGTAAGTTACCTAAATTTACCTACTTAACTGTTTGTGTAAGTGGTAGAGTTAGAGATAGGATTTGAACCTCAAATTCAGCTTTTAACTCATATGTCCATTTGCTTGAATTTTGCTTTAGCGGCTGACTTAGACTCTGCAATATGAGTTTTATGTTTATGAAACTACAATATGAAGTAAGTCTTAAATTAGAAAAAGAAATGGAGTCACAGTAACCCTGTGGTTTCACTGGGCATTGTTTGCTACTTATTTGGAACTCTGTTGGTAGTTAATTTAGGTATCCATGTACCAAGACCCTTTTTGATTTTGTTTTGTGTTCACAGACTGTACCCTTCATTTGGTAAACAATTTCACAAATGTATTGATCAAAAGAGAACCTGAATAATAAATAAATAAATAAATAAATAGATAGATAGATAGATAGATAAATAAATAAATAAATATTTGGCATTAATGGAAAAACAAACTTAAGAGCACAAGCCTATTTTAGGTAGAACATGTAAGATTTAGGTGCTCCACGATTCTTGAGTTTATTATAAAAGCAATACTTAAGGTCAGATGTATACAAAAGATTCCTAGAGAAAATTAGTGTCCTGGCACAGAAAGAGCAGAAAGAACAAAAACTTGGCTAAATCCTCAGTTGGAAGGGGATTTGTAACATGGAAAGAAATATGAGTGCCGGAATGTCAATAAAGCCAAGAATTAAACCTTGTTTTGTGGTTTATTTACCAAAATCACTGATACCTTGTTGGGTTTCTTGGCAGTTTCTTAAGACTTTGTCTTATTTCTTCTATAAATATTCAGGAAACATTTTTGAAAATATGTTAAATAAAGTCTTACTGGTTTTTATAAATGAGCATATTGAGAATTAAATTACATGTGCTGGGTTCTTCCATAAAAACTAAGTCTTTACATTTTATTGGTTTATTTATAAAAAGACTTGAGGGGCTCCTGGGTGGCTCAGTTGGTTAAGTGTCCGACTCTGGCTCAGGTCATGATCTCACGATTAGTGGGTTCAAGCCCCACATCTGACTCTCTGCTGTTCAGCACAAAGCCTGCTTCACATCCTTTGTCTCCCTCTCTCTCTCTGCCCTTCCCTTGCTCATGCTCTCTCTTTTTCTCTCTCAAAATAAACAAATAAACATTTGAAAATAATAAAATAAAAAAAGGCTTGAGCACTTTTAGTATCGACTTTGAATATATACTTGTGTTTGAAAAAGAAAAATTGAAAATTTTGAATGGAAACATACGTTGAGTGGTAACTCATTTTTGCTTTTCTGTTTTTTCTTTAGTTCACGACAAAGTATGTTAAGATCCCATTTCAAGGTAAGCTATCATTGTCTTATGATCTTTTTTTCACTGTAATTTTGAACATAAAATAGCAAAACTTTGAAATCTTTCTGCAGCCATAATTTTTTCCACTATAGAAATTAAGTAAAACTAAGGTTAATAATGTGTTTCAAGTTAACACTTTTTTAAGCAGCTTCAAAAGGTGTTAAAGTGTTTTATAACATTGAAAATAGTAAACTATTGTTTTAATGGCTTGAATAATAAGGGACTCATGGTAACTTTTTGGGATTAACAGAAATAAAGTTTTGATAGCAAGAAGATTTTGGTATGATGAAATGTATGAAAAATAGGAAGTGTAAGGAAAATTTATAATGCTGTACAAAATATGTAAAATGGTTTTGCATAGGAGTTAGGAGAGATTTTTAATATCTTTTTCTTATCTGAGTAAAGCAAAGTAGATGTGAAATTGTACCTATAATATGCAAAGACTCAGAACGTTTTCTTATTCTTTCCCCAAGTAAAATCATTTCAGAATAATAATGACACTAAGAAAAATAAGAAGCAATAGAGAATAGTCTCTTTAGAGAATGAATAAGGAAAAGAATGAGGAAGAAAAATATACACAAATATCCACTTCACAAATGAACTAGGGAAGAGAGGAAGCTTCTGTTCCAAGACTGAAGAAGTGATCAAAGTAATTTTAATCAGACTCTGCAGGTACCCATGCACAGAACCACAACTATATATTATGATAATCTAATAATCAGGAAGCTGCTATAAGTGGTAAGAATAATAAGGATAGGCACAGAATAAATATATTGATATTCCTAATTAGGATGTTTAAACAAGTTATGGAATAATATAACATTAACTTCTAAATAGAAGAAACAAAAACCTATGATTTAAAAGGAAATAATTTCATAAAAGAAAGTGCTTTTTTTCATTAAAAAAATACCTATGTGACAGTGCTTCTCTCATATTCTTTTTTTTTTTTAAATTAACTTGAGGTACAGTTGACATGTAACTTTATATTGGTTTCAGGTGTACACCATAATGATTTGGTGTTTGTATATATTGCAAAATGATCCCGACTGTATGTCTCGTTAACATCTTTCCCCATACACAGTTGCAAAAGGTTTTTTTTTTCTCTTTTGGTGATTGATGACTTTAAGATCTCTCTTAGCAACTTTCACATATGCAATACTGTATTAGTAATTATACTCACACGCTTTAGGGTATATCCCTGTGACTTATTTATTTTATAACTGTAAGTTTATACCTTTTGACCCTCTTTACCCATTTTGCCCACTCCACCCTCTGTCTTTGGCAACCAGTAATCTGATCTCTGTATCTATGAGCTTGTCTGTGTGTGTGTGTGTGTGTGTGTGTGTGTGTGTGTGTGTGTTTTAATTTCACATATAAGTGATATCATGCAGTATTTGTATTTCTCTGTCTGACTTAGTACAATGCCCTTAGGGCCCATCCATGTTGTCTCAAATGACAAAATTTCTTTCTTTTTAGTGGCTGAATAATATTCCATTTTATGTACATAATACATCTTCTTTATTCGTTCATCCTTTGATGGATACGTAGGTCATTTCCATATCTTTGCTATTGTGAATAATGGGACAGTGAACGTGGGGGTGCATGCATCTTTTTGACTTAATGTTTTTTCTCTTTTCTTTTGGATAGATACTCAGAACTAGAATTGCTGGGTCGTATGGTAGTTCTCTTAATTTTTTGAGGAACCTACAGACTGTTTTCCACAGTAGCTGCACCAGTTTACGTTTCTACCAACAGTGTTCATGGTTCCCTTTTCTTTTTTTAATGTTTTATTATTTATTTTTGAGAGAGCACAAATGGGGGAGGGGCATAGAAAGGGGAACAGAGGATCTGAAGCAGGCTTTGGTGCAGATAGGCTGACAGCAGTGAGCCCAGTGTGGGGCTTGAACTCACAAACCACGAGATCGTGACCTGAGCCAAAGTCTTGGACTCTTAACCAACTGAGCCACCTAGTGCCCCAAGCATTCCCTTTTCTCCACGTCCTTATTAACACTTTTTTTTTTTTTTTAAATAATGACCATTGTGACAGGTATGAGGGGATATCTCATTGTGGTTTTGATTTGCATTTTTATGGTGATTAATGATGTTGAGTGTCTCTTCATGTATCTGTTTGCTGTCTGTATGATTTCTCTGGAAAAATGTCTATTCATTTTCTCTGCCCATTCTTCTTTTTTTAAAGAGAGAGATTGCACATGCATGCCCACATGGCGCAGGATAGGGTGGGGAGGGTGGAGAGAGAGAACGAGAGGGAAAGAGAAAGAGGGTACCTTAAGCAGGCTTCATGCCCAGCATGAGGTCCATGTGGGGCTCAGTCTCACTATCTTGAGATCATGACCTGAGCTGAAAACAAGTCAGACACTTAACTGAGTGAGCCACCCAGGTGCCCTTCTGCTCATTAAAAAAAAATTTTTTTAACGTTTATTTATTATTGAGAGAGAGACAGAGACAGAGTGTGAGCACGGGAGGGGCAGAGAGACAGGGAGACACAGAACCTGAAGTAGGCTCCAGGCTCCGAGCTGTCCGCACAAAGCCCAGCGCAGGGCTTGAGCACGAACTGTGAGATCATGATTTGAGCCAAAGTCAGATGCTTAACTGACTGAGCCACCCAGGCGTCCCTCTGCCCATTTTTTAAATGGATTTTTTTTTTTTCTGTTGGGTTCTCTGGGTTCTTTATATATTTTGGATATTAACCTTTATCAGATATATGGTTTGCAAATATTTTCTCTCATTCCATAGGTTGCCTTTTCATTTTGTTAATGATTTCCTTTGCTGTGCAGAAGATTTTCAGTTTGTTGTAATCCCACTACATCATCTATAATCTATAAAGACCTGTGTAACAGAGCTACTTCTCAAATATGTATGATCCAAACCTCAAAAATAATATTTTATGTTTTAATAGTTAATATTTATATCTTGTTTCAAATATTGCTTTTATAACTTTTCTGTTCCAAGTGATTTTTGAAAGACATTTTTAATAAAAAATTATGGAAAGGTTCACGAGTTCAAGCCCTGCATTGGGCTCTGTGGTAACAGCTCGGAGCCTGGAGCCTGCTTCAGATTCTGTGTCTCTGTCTCTCTCTGTCCCTTCCCTGCTCATGCTCTGTCTTTCTCAATCTCTCAAAAATAAACAAACATTTAAAAAGTATTTTAAAATTAACAATTAGGGAAAATACTCTCTTCAGTAGTAATGGCTTTATGATTTTGTAATATAAGAGGAAAACATTAGTCTTCTTCCACAAATTCTGTATATGCATATATAAAAATCTTTTATAAACAAGGCATGCATATAAAATGTTTTTATACATAAGGAACCTAGATCTAAATGTTTATTCTTTTTCTGTAGTAGCTGAGAGAAATAATGATTTACATATTTATATTAGCTATTAATTATGTTTGGCTGTGGCTTAAAGAAAATAATTTATTTTTCCTTTCCAAAGAAGAAATCCAGAGGTAGGCTGAAGAGGGCTGATACGGTATTTCGTTTGGTCATCCGAGGTCCTGGCCCTATTGTTTTTGTACTGTGTCATTCCTAATGTATGACTTCTATTCCTAAGTTTGTCTCATGGTCCAAATGGCTGCTTGTACTTTAGTCATCATGTTTGCATTCTAGGTGGAAAGCAGGAGGAAGGGGAAAATGGTAAAAAACAAAAACAAAAACAAAACAACAACACACATATACCACCTATTTCTTGTCTTTTTAAAAAATTTGTTTATTTAGAGAAAGAGTGCATATGCACGGGAGAGGGGCAGAGGGAGGAGAGAGAAAGAGAAAATCTTAAGCAGGCTCCAGGCTCTGTGCAGAGGTCGATATGGGGCTTGATCTCATGACTGTTGTCATGTCCTGAGCCAGAATCAAGAGTTGGACGCTCAACCAACTGAGCCACTTAGGTGCCCCTCTCTTGCCTTTTTAAGGAGGTTTCTTAGATGTGCATGCCACCTAACTTCTACTTACATTTTCTTAGCTAGAAGGTAGTCCTTTGACCACACATCTATTTGCAAAGGAAGCTAGGAAATAGTTTCTAACAGCTAAGTATCTTGGTTTCTAAATAAAATTAGGGTCTGTTACTAAGATCGCTAATAGTGGGTAGGACAGATGATAGACAACTCCCATTTTCAGTTACTGCTATATTCCTGTTACAGAATAAACCAAATATTGGGGGGATATTTGGTAATGAGGTAAACTTTCCTTAATGATGGTGTTAAATCTTTTTTCTAAAGAAAATTAAGCTTTTATGCCCAGAGGTTGGTACATTTGGATTAGTAATAATTGTCTAGATTGCACAGAAATAATATCAATTATTGGGGGTTGTGAGCTGACTGAGGAAGAAATGCTGAGAAGTTTCCTGAAGGTTTTTACTCTTTTAATCTGTTTGTCTTTGCTGCCAGTTTCACTGACATTTTTCAGAATGGGGAAGTTACATAGCTTATGGATTAGAAGAATTATTGTCGTTAAGATGTCCATACTACCCAAAGTGATCTGCAGATTCAATGTAATACCTATCAAAATCTCAATGACATTTTTTATAGAAATAGAAAAAACAGTTCTAACATCTGTCTGGAACAACAAAAGACCCCAAATAGCCAAAACAGTCGTGAGAGGCATGTGGCTGGAGTCCTCACACTTCCTGATTTCAGACTGTATTACGAAGCTATAGTAATCAATATAGTTTTGTATTGGCATAAAAACAGACACATAGAACAGTGGAACAAAATTAAGAACCCAGAAACAAACCCAGGCATATATGGTCAGTTAATTTTCAACAAAGGAGCCAAGAATGTACAATGGAGACAGGATAGTCTTTTCAATAAATGATGTTGGGAAAGCTGTACAGCCACAAGGAAAAGAATGAAACTGGACTCCTACCTGTATTATATACAAAAATCAACTCAAAATGGATTAAAGCCTTAAATGTAAGATCTTAAGCCATAAAACTTGTGAAAAAACTTATCCCCAATGCTTTTTTCTATCATCCTTGGCAATGATTTTTTAGGATTCGATACTAAAAGCAAAGACAGCAAAAGCCAAAATAAACAAGTGGAGCTACATCAAACAAAAAAGCTTCTGCATAGCAAAGGAAAGAATCAGCAAAAAAGAAAAAGCATTCTGTGGAATATCTGAGAAGGAGTTAATATCCAAAATATATAAAGAACTCAGAGAATTCAACAGGAAAAAAAAAGTCTGATTAAAAAATGGGCAGAGGAACTGAATACACATTTTTCCAAATAAGATATACAAATGGCAAATAAGCACATGAAAAGATGGTAAACATCACTAATCATTACAAAAATGCAAATCAAAACCACAATGAGATATTCCCTTACACCTGTTAGAATGGCTATCATCAAAATGACAAGAAATGAGCAAGTACACTGTTGTTGAGATTGTAAACTGGTACAGCTACTGTGGAAAATGGTCTATAGACTTAAGAAATTACAAATAAAACTACTATATGATCCAGCAGTCCCATTTTTGGGTTTATATCCAAAAGAAATGAAAATGGGATTTTGAAAAGATATATGCACCCCTCATTATTCATGTAGCCAAAATTTGGAAGCCACCTAAGTGTCTGTTGATGAATGGATAATTTTGTGGTGTATATGTACAATGGAATATTAATCTTGAGAAAGAATGAAATCTTGCCATTTGCGACAACATGGATGGACCTCGGGGGCCTTTACTAATTGAAATAAGTCAGAGGAAGACAAATACTGCATGATATTGCTTATATGTGGAAACTAAAAAGGCTGCCATAAATACAGAGACTAGCCATCGTGGTTACCAGGGACTGGGACATGGGGGAAATGGGAAGATGTTGGTCAGAGAGTATAGACTTCCAGTTATAAGATCAATAATGTACAGAATTGTGATCACAGTTAATAATACTGTTATTATATAGTTGAAAATTGCGAAGAGAGTTGATCTTACATGTTCTCATCACGAATATGAAATGGTAGTTACAGAGGTGTTAGCTAATGCTTTGATGGTAATTGTTTTGCAATAAATATATGAAATTAACATTAGCTTAAACTTACACAATGTTATTTGATAATTTTATGTCAATAAATTTTATCTGGAAAAAATAAAATGAAAGGTCAAAGTAAGTGTAAAAAAAAAGAAATATAAAGCAGAATAGCTAGGTAAAGAGAGAGAGGGAGATAGGGAGAGACAGAGCAGACTTTAAATGGCCTAAGTCAGTATGAAAGACTACAAAATAGATGCAAAGAGAAAACAAAAGAGTAATGAAAAGAAAAAAGTTTAAAAATACAAAGATAGAATAGAGGGAGGAATGAAAGGAAAGGAGAAAGGAGAGATAAAGGGATAAAAGAAGGAGAGAAAGGGAGGAAGTTAAGAAGAATGGAAAGCAGGCAGTATACAGCAAGGTAAGAATAGAGAAAGAAAAGGACAGTGAATAAATTAGACTGAGAAAAGGTAAAGAAAAAAAGCTATCAAAGAGAGAAGAAAAAGGAAGTGGCCAAGATAGGAAAGGGGAGGCAAGAGAGAGAAGTTTAAAGTGATGAGTCTCTAAGAATAAAATACAAAAGAAATGAAGGAAAGAATGTGGGAATGAGAGATAAAAAGAAGGGTTTGAAAGGAGGAGCCAGTAAGAAAATAAAGTACAATAGTGGACAGTGGGGAAAGCTAAAAGTAACTCAGTCAAAATGCTACAGTAAAAATAAGATTGATGACTGGGTGACAGCTAGATAGGAAGGTAGACAGATATGTAGGCAGCTGTACAAAATACAAATAGATCCATAGGTAGGTGATGGATAGGTAAGTAGGTAGCTAGAGATTGATAGGTAGAAGCGATTTTAAAAAGGATTACCCAAGAAAATGTCAATAAATAAGAGGCAGAAAGAGAGAAAGGGAAAGAAGAAATGTAAAATGTTTTTAAAAATTTCCATGAAATAGAGAGTAAGTAGGCAGGTATGCATGCAGACAGACACAGAGGAAAAAATTGAAACACAGAAAAGGAGCAAGAAAAAGGCATGGAGAAATGGAATAAGGGAAGGAGAGAATGAATGAAGGAAAGAGGAAATATGAAAGAAATAAAGACAAGATGTTTAAAATGGATTAATTGATTATAAGAAAATATTTAAAAGTAGAATGGTTCGTGTGGGAACATTAAGATGACTAGTTAAGTATGTAAGTACTTATTGTAAAATGCTTTTCAAACTTCAGTGTTGAGTGATATGAATCATCTGGGGTTTTTGTTTTTGTTTTGTTTTATTTGTAAATCAATTCTGATTCAGTACATCTAAGGTGTGGCCTGATATTCTACATTTGTAAGAGGCTCCAGTGTGATGCCAGTGTCTCAGGCTCAGAAGTAGATTTTAAGTAGCAAGGTGCCAGGAGATAATAGGAGGAGGAGTACGAAGAGATTTGTTTCAAATAGGTATTCATCTTGAGTTTATACTTAACCAATACTTGTATTAGTTGTTCAACTGCTTGTTTTCTTAAAGTTGGGTCAGATGACCTTCAGGACTTCTTTATACCAGTTCTCTATTTCTTTGAATTAAAAAAAAAAATCTTTAGGAAAGATTCTTTTGCTAACTCAGAGAAGGACCCATAATTCTAGGTGATTTCCTAGAAGTTTCAAGAAGTAAAATCTAATCTGGAAGAATTTTATTTTAAGTTTTATGTATTTATTTAATCTCTATACCCTATGTGGGGCTTGAACTCATGACCCTGAGATTAAGAGTTACATGCTTTTCCAACTGAGCCAGTCAGGTGCACCAAAACATGGAAGAATTAAAAAAAAAAAAAATACTATCTTAGACCATTCAAAAGCTCATGTTATTTTTGAGAATCTTTTGATAGTGGTGGCTAGTCTGTATAGGGGAATGCAGATATTTTAGGAGAAGAAACATAAGAATAAATTGGCTAATGATAGCATTTGGGGATTTTGGTTGATCATATTAACCAAGATAGAAATATATAATTTTCTAAGTTAAAACCGTGCTAGTTGTCTGCATTGATAAAGTCGTCTTCTTTCCTTTCTTCCCCTCTCCCCCTGCTTCCCCTTCTTCCACTCCCTCTCCCCTCCCCCACCCTTCCTCCTTCTCCTCCTTATTTTATTTTTTTCCAGTGATATAGCACTTCCAGTAAGAAATCTCTCTGGACAAGTTTATATTCTATGAAAATTTATTTTCATATTTCCCTTTCCTGGATATAACTGAGATTGATAATTATTTGGGCCTTTCTAATTGCAATATGATCTTTTTTATGCTAATAATATTGTTTGAGGTATTTCAGCCAAGGTTAGTGAAGTACACTGGAAATGATTTTTGTAAAACTTCACATATCATTCTTTTTGAAAAACATCATGTATTAAAGAAGAGTCATAAAGCGTATCAGTGTTAATTCCTAAATGGATAATTTATTAACTTGTTACCTTTTATTTGTTTCAGTCTCCCTGAATGAGGTTTCATTGCTAGTGGATACCACACATTTAAAGAGGTTTGGGTTATGGAAAAATAAGGATGATGATCACAGTAAAAGGAATCAAGCTATCCTTTTCCTTTGGGTCTCTGCAAATTATCTTCAAGAGATTCAGACCCAACTAGAAAACTCCATATTAAGCCAGCACTGTGAGTATATGAAATATTTCTATATTTCAGAATAACCTGAGAAGTCCTGTGTATAGTTTTCTTCTAAAACAATTTAGTAGAATGTAATTATTTCATTGAATTGAAATTAAGTAGACTTGATTAAAAATAATTTTAGCCCTTACTATTATACAAGGTAAATTATTTATTCTACACAATTTCTCCTGATAATTTTGCTCAACCAAGATAAATTATCAGGTAAAATAAAAGGAATACTTTATCTTTTAGTCAGTTGCCATCCTTGGCTACCTTTCTTATGAGTTTCTTGCCCTTGTTGCATAAAGAACTGTGGCAGCTAATCAATGGCAAAGTTAAATAAAATACAGAAGTCTTTACCTTCAACATTTTCTTTAGTTTTTTAAAAAATAAAACATAGTTACTTATATATATCATTTCTCTAAGACTGGATTGAATACCTTTCTGTATGTTCCCATAAACTGGTCTGTATATATGCATCTTAAATATCTCCCAACTTTGTTTAGTTTTCAACTCCTAAAGGAGTCTAGTTTAGAATTGGGTAAATCAGATTAGTAAGCTTCTTTCTTACCTCTTTGATCTCTCTACCTTGCTGTCTCTACTCCCTTATGTATTAAAGATGTTAAGTAGTGAATAAATTTTATACCTTTAATATTATAGTAGTCCCTCCCTTATCCATGGAGGATATATTCCAAGAACCCCAGTGGATGCCTGAAACCACAAATAGTACTGAACTCTCTATATATTATGTTTTTTTCCCTAGACATACCTACATACTTTCCTATACATATGAAATTTAATATACAAATTAGCTACACTAAGAGATTAACAATAATAACTAAGAATAATTATAACAATATCCTGTAAGAAAAGTTACATGAATGTGTAACATCTTCTTGTGATTATGTGAGAAGAGGGAATGCTTATGTGATGACATGAAATGAGGTGAATGACACAGGCATTTTGATGTAGTGTTAGCCTACTGTAGACCTTATGGCAACAGGCCAGAAAAAAGATCTGCTTCTGGGCTGCTGTTGACCATGGGTAACTGTAACTGTGGAAAATGAAACCATGGATAAAGGAGGACTACTTAGTTACTGTGCTGTCCTACTTCCAAATTAATTGGGAGAATTCATGATTAAATAGAGAAGTTGGGGGAATAAAACTAGCCATTTATAATTATGGGTGGAGAGAATATAATTTGAGACGATTGTTGAAATGTTTGATGAAACAATGATTTTGAAGGAAGTGTTTGGTTGGTTGGAATAATTTTTTAATTGGTAGATTTGATAAATGGAGGAGGCTAGAGAAAAATAATTAGTTCCTTAGTTATCATTCATTCATTTATTCATACATTCATTAACAAATGCCAGGTAGTAGAGATACAGTAGCTAATGCCATTGTGAAGTTTCCATTTTAATGCAGGAGGAGTTTAAAACTTGGGTTTTGAATCTAGGTTACTAATAGCCTGTTTGGGGATTTAATTTCCCTCGGTTATTAACTAACATACAAAATGCTGTTATTAATAATTAAATTATTTATAGTGCTCTTGAACTATAATACTTGATTAAAATTGATTTATTTTTTTCTTTTATAGCAAAATCCAGTGAATTCATTTTTCTTGAGCTATACAATCCTATTTCGCAAAGAGAAGAATTGAAATTAAAAGACATTATGACAGAAATAAGTACAACCAGTGGAGAATTGGAACTTTCTTATCCATTGTCTTGGTTTCAGGCACTTCCTTTATTTCAGAACCTCTCTTCAAAAGAAAGTTCTTTTGTTCATTATTATTGTGCTTCAACTTATTCTTTTCCCGCTGTTGCTGCTGAAGAAATGAAGATGAAATCAATGTCTCAGGTTAGCATCTGATTAATATAATTGTCAAGTTTTAGTAAAAACTTTTCCCCTGAAAATCAGGTGATTTCAAAATGCTGTGTTTTGTCCTAAGTGCTCAGGAGTCAACCTGAGAGAACTCTGAATACCAAATCTAAAATAGTCTTATTTTATTTTCAATTTATTTTATTTTTAAGTAAACTCTACACCCAATGTGGGGCTCAAACTCACAACCCCAAGATCAAGAGTCACATGCTTCACTGACTGAGCCAGCCAGGTACCCCACAGCTAGAATAATTGAATCAATAAAATCAGTAATGATAACATGATTATTACCAAAGAATAAAATAAATACCCATAAATCTATATTGATACAAATAAATTTCAGAATCAATGAATGGAAAATACTGATGGTGGATAATTGACAGTTCTTTCTTAGGAAAGTATTTAACTAATAAATGTAAAATGAATAAAAATTACAAAGCCACCATAGAAAAACCATAGTTAGGGGCACCTGGGTGGCTCAGTCGGTTGAGTTTCTGACTTCAGCTCAGGTCATGATTTCACAGTCCGTGGGTTTGAGCTCCTCATCAGGCTCTGT